TAGAGGCTGCAGCACTCCCCACATAGATGCCTGTATTACTGCCAGCTGCCAGTGGGAGCAACTAGCTAGATGCTGCAGCACTCCCAACATGGATGCCTGTATTACTGCCAGCTGGCTGGTGGAGCAACACTTGACTTGGACCGGCCAGCTGACCCTGGCAAGCTCAGTGGTCGAGTGGTTAAGACGTCTGCACTAGTAAGCAGGAAGTCATGGGTTGGAGTCCCACCCGAGTAAGCTTGTGAATATTTTTGCAAGCTCTTGGACAAGCACCGAGCATACAGTGTTTATTAATATGTACGCTAGGTAAGGGCAGAACCTGTCGTATAAAGTACCATCTCCCCAATGCAAAAATACATCTTGAAAAAAGGATTCCAGTCAGTCAATCAAGTTTGGCAGCTATTGGACATCTATATCAAATAAAAAAATATTTGCCTACGTGCAGGCCTAGGGCGATGTGCATACTGAACAGAAACTGCTTCCTCTTTTTTTTCAAAATTGGAGTCTATATTTTGCAATAAAAAGTATTTTAGTTATCAGTGAAAAGGATGTACATGTAAATAAAGAGATGATAAACCCGAGGATAAAGGACCCCCAAAGATCAGCATGGTAAGCCACATCCAAATAGCTTGGCTACAGTTGACAAAAGTGCATGCACCTACATGTATGCAAACTGCCTGTCAGCGGCTAAATCCATAGACACATACATTACTGTCAGCCACAGCCAAGCAATCAGATACAACATGACACTGGTCTTTGTATTATCCACTCAGTAGGTGGGGGTATCATCAGGTACCACCTGACTCATTGTTGCCTTTTCCAGGTGTTCCATCAGTCTGCATCAGAACAAGTCATGAGTATGTTTGTACTGTCTGTTGAACTCTTTTACTAAAGAATATAGTGATAAGTTGTAATGAGGAAAAGAACAGCATTACTGACTTCATGTCTGAGAAATTTTGAATACCGGTGTAAGAAAGTGCTACACCTGTCAAAGAAAATTGTGTCAGAAAGACACAGTTTCTTAAGCCTCAATGGATTATTTTCCATTTTGGTAGATATTCCAGAGGAATTGAGCTGTTGTGAGGAAAAGTGGATTCATGAGAAGGCTACAGCACATCCCACATGGTCCATTGTTTGTGTGTCATCCATCCCACATAAAAAATACAGTAGCAGCATTGCCAAGTGAAACTAGTAATTAGTTAATTGGAGTGAAGTTGAAGAGGAAACTGTCATGCAAAGGATTAGTATTAGTTTGTAAGCAGCAACGTCCAAAATGCACAAAGTTATCTTAAGCAGAGTAATATTTGGTACAAAGAAAACACAATCGTGATTGGAGAGATTGTTGGGTGATCATGTAAGAGGAAATTAAGTTAGAACAAGAATTTCATGGGCAATCACGTAAAAGCGATCCTGGATACACGCAAATTTGCAACCTGTAGATAATGCATATGTGCATAGTGTCACCCCTTGTGAAGGAGATAGTCCTGTTAGAGTGTTGATGATGACAGACCTGAGTGTGTAATTAATTTCTTAATCCATATAGAGGTACACCCCCATATTGGCAACCAACACAGGTATGTGATGAGTTAGATGCTTACTTTACTGACAACAAAGTTTTTGGGCCAGTCTTTTGGAATTGTAGGTTGTAGATGGTGGACCGTTTTCATAAGTTACAGATGCAGATTGAGATGCAGTTAGAAAAAGCGGCCCAAGTTCTCGAAGATCAGGCATGTTGCACCTTGTGTGGTCTCATGTACATGTGGAACTATAGGTGTAACAGATAAAGTTATCCAGCCTTTCACACTGGACTTGAAGTTAAGTTTTGATGGAATGACTCTTCAGTAAATCAAACAGCACATCCAAATAAACTAGCCATGGTTGGGGAAACATGTGGAACTGTAAATGTAACTCATAAAGTTCTTCAAGTTTTCACACTGGCCTTGAAGTGAATTTTATGTTGAGTCATTCTTTAATAAGACAGACTATCAAAATAAAAGAACCATGGATGAGGGTATGGATGGGCAAGGCAATCAGAGTTTCTGCTCTAAGCTGGGATTGTAACAATAAGTTCTCAGTTGAGCTAGGCCAATTCATGGTCCTTCTGAATACAGACATCTGAGTAAAGGATTTATTTGAACTACATTGTATGCGGACTGGTTTTCAGCTGACTTATACTTAATAGGTAAATTTGCCGAGTGATATTATTTCCTTATTTATCCATGTTGTAGCTGAGACCATCGTAAGACCCCACAGGACTAACACTCAAAATTCAAGTCACAAGCTATTCAGACGAACTGCAACAAAAGTATTCTTTTGTCATTGTTCACCCGGTTACTTGTGACTGGTCTTGTTCATGGTCTTGTGTGGTTTGTGATTGGTCTTGAGGATGGTCTTGACTACAACACTGTTATTATCTGCCTAAAAGCTTTTTACATTAAAAACTTAGACAGAGGTTCATAATAACAATTCTTAATCATTCTTAATCAAAACAGGTTTTAAGGACTTGAATTTCTGATGCAGGTCATAGAGTAAGCAGGTGTTGCCAGACAGGCAAGTTTTTGGTTGATATGTGTAAATCCGTACATCAACGCAGTATTAAATTTCCGACAGAAGAAAGTGCACAATTAATAGCTTTACTTACAATGTCAGCAAAGACTTCCACAGTTATCTTAGCCAACCCCCCCACTACATTGCTACCATTGGTAAAAATTACACTTAAATTGTTGGTTCTTAACATGTTTGCCTTTTTGATGATGCTTCTTAAGTAGTGTCAACTGAAGACAACATTTACTGTTTTGACACTCAATATATTTTCTGTGTCATCCAGCAGCCCACACCCGGCAAATTTTACAGAGCTTTTCCACACCCCTTCCTCTCACTTAACCACTTTGGCAATATACATGACTTGCAATTACCCATGTTGTGCTGTATGTGTTCAACAGTTCCCTACAATCCACTTGAGGGATTTCATTCAGGATAACAAATGCACACAGCTAAAGCTATTTGAAAGGCTGATCAGTAGAATCCTACAACCATGTGGTCTAAAAAAAATTGACCCCATATTAGGCATACATGTAGTATCAATCCTATCGATGTATGTACAGTCCTTTACATGTCCTATAAGAATCCTATAGTTTTTACAATCTTTTCATGCCCTATGGGAATCCTATAGAAATATGTTCAATCCTTTAATGTCCTATAGGACCCTATAGGATTCCATAGAATCCCATAGGGTCCTACAGGCATAGGAGTCTTTTGTGAGGTATGGATATGCCATACGCCTTATTGCTGAAACAGCATTGGTGATTTTGCAGAATGGTAGAAAGGCATTCTGGGAAGGAAAAGGGGACAATGTTTGCTCCTTTTTCTTCCCACAATGCCTTTCTACCACTGTGCAAAACCACATGCGATATCAGCAATAAGGCTTATTGCCAAAAAGATCAGTTTTGCAGAGGTCAGTGACTTGATCAACACTTGATAGTTCTCTGAATCACGGATCCTGCGCCTTGAACACCCGCTTGGGTGGATATGCGCGCATTACAAGTTTTTTTTATTCATCTTATTATTATCAATCATCCAACAAAACTGCCTTATGCTTCACCTAGATCAACTCACGAAAAGACATTTGAACGAAGGAAATGCATGTACGTACCTGACTTACCTGATTAACCATGCACCAGTCTGTCAGTGTGAAACTTAACATGTATGATCGGCCGACACCTGCAGCTGGCCGTGTAGATTTAGGAAGGAATGTAGCCACTAGGCACTACTGATACTGAAGTGCACTGTACAACGTGCCTACGTATACACACTCCGACATTCCGCACAAAATCTGGAAATCAATCATGTCAAATTTGGGTTCGTTGGCCTTCCATTTCAAGTCTTACATTATCAGTACAACCATGGAGGTAGGAAAAAATAAAATCAGATCAAGCCGAATAATTATATCCCAGTTTAATATGCCTATAACGAAATCAGGTAACTGTGCTCAGCCTAGCGCGGAGGTAAGAAAATCAGACGTACGATGATCACTCTCTCTCGACCAGATCCCGCAGGGAACAAGGTCATGAAGGTTGGCCTATATGTACAGTATATGTAGTGTACATGTACATGTACATACTGTACGTAAAAATATGACTTTCACGAAAGGTCCTGACGTGCGATATCATGCTGACCGGACCAAGGGCTCACCGTAGTTCCGCATTCTTGTACACATGTACGTGTATTGTACATGTACATGTGTTACATGTGCTGTACATGTACTATACAGTACAGTAAATCTACATGTACATGTACATGTACTGTACACTGTACATGTACATGTACAGTGCGTTTATGGCCGCGTGTGCACAGCACGATCTGGTTTCTGCCAGGGCCACTCCCCTACCACCATGTTTATGAATAATGCAATATTTCCTGCTTGGTGTGGGTGTTCCCTCCACAAAAGTTACACCTCTTCTAAGCGTGTAATGAATAATGCAACAGAAAGTTCGCCACATATTCTACCTGCAAATGGTCATAACCAAACGTATTGAATCTAAAAGACTTCTCGGTATAATAGCCGGACAAAAGGGAATTGGTTTTAGAGACGAAGGAGGAGAGGGCAAATTCAAAATCCAACGCGAATTCGGGTATAATGAAGGGGAGAAGAAAATTAAGCGGGCTAACCAAAAACTCGTGGGGGAAACAGCGCCCTCACGTGTCTAGAGAATCATGGACTTTCAATAGGTGCACTATTCAATGTGTTTGACCAAACAGGAATTTGAAATACTTTAATTTTTTTAATAAGAGTGTAAAATTATATAAAAACTGTGCTTCAGAAAAGTAATTGCAGCTACACTTTTACGACTTAAGATCTATATTCATGTACTAAATGCACTTTGATTTAGGAGGAAAAATAAATGACAGGTCTATTGAATTAGGGCAGATCGAGGTGTTGCCAAAACGTTAAACAAAATGGTAAAACAATATAATCTCTTTTATTATATTCTCTTTGTTGTTGGGAAAGTGATTCCTTAAAGTCTAAGGCAACATAGCTCACAAATATAAGTAAACAAGAGTAGGAAAATTAGGACATATTCAGCTTTAGGGAGAGAGGAAACTCCTGGACAAATGATATTAGTAAACCCCCAAAATCAGGTAAGGATTGAATACACAATCCACACACTGTCCTCACAGTAAGCAGAATCCCCTCTTGAGTCAGAATCCTCTTACATCCAGGTAAAATCCATCTTCCATGTTGTCTCCGCTTGTTGTTTCAATTTAAAATTATTTATATAAAACAGTTTGAGTGAATCTGTCAACTCAAAGCTTTTGTTTCTGTTTTGCTTGGTTTAATACGAAATCAATTTTACTCCACTGAGAAATGGCGATCGCATCTATATGAAATAATGTAGTGATAGTGATCCACAATCCACGCAATTCTGCCTCAATTGACTAGTGGATGTGCATCAGCTGGCTGAATGACGGCAAAATTTCCAGACATCAGATTTCAAACTGAACTCGTCGAATTCATAATACAAACCAAGACTTCAATTTCAGTTTTAATAGAAAAACTGCACGAGCCCTCTCGAGTTTGGGCTTCAAAACCTATTATATAACACGTTCTCTCAAATATTTTTTTTTGGGGGGGGGTGCTGTTAGAGGTTAAACAGTAAATAGGTCGAAATGGAGGAAACTGGTCGCCAAGGCTTTAGCAGAGTATGGTACATGATGATGGTGATTAGCAGGGCAATGAGGGTGATGATGATGTAAAATGATTTTTTTTGGGCGGATACAAGGACTATCAAGACAATTATGTCGCCGGTGGAACTATAGAGGGCTTAGTGTATACATGTATATAGTCATTAGGGTGGAAACCGCGCCGTATTCTCCTTTTCCATTTTCTTATATTCTCATTAATTTATCATCCGTTTCTGAAATGAATTAAGGTGGTATCTTATTTTAAAAAATGTCCTTGCATCCGACAATTGAATTACGACATTAAGCAGAATGGGTTTAAATTACAATTTATGTTTGCATGATATTTTTTGTTGAACTGCTTATAAAAATACATTTAACTTTCATATAAAAGGGAAAATAGAATGAAATAAAGTTACAAATACACGAGAAAGGCCGACCACATCTTTTCAAGTCTTGTGCGCGAAACGCCTCCCGTATGCACCGTTTAATTAATGCTAATAATGCTCTCTACAAAGTCTAGCGCTCAAGTGTTATCTCTTTCAGCACTGGATATGTTGATTTTTTTATTAAGTTAATGAGGAATGTACTGTTCAGGAATATACTTCAA